GCGGGATACAGCTGTGACACAGAGTTAACAAAATGTAACTAAAAAGAAAAAAAAAAAGAAATTTGCAGGTTTGCAGGTAAATGGTGGGACCTGGAAAGGATCATCCTGAGTGAGCTGTCCCAGAAGCAGAAATACATACATGCTATATACTCACTCATATAAACATGTAATATAGGATAAACCTACTAAAATCTGTACATCTAAAAACACTAATCAAGAGAGACGGCCCTGATTAAAATGCTCAATCCCCATCCCAAAAGGCAAAGAGGAAGGACATCAGAAGAAGAAGGAAACAGGAAACAAGCCACGGAGGGTCTCTGAAAGGCTCTACCCTGCAGACTATCAAAGCAGGTGCTGAGACTTACGGCCATCTGTTGGGCAATGTGCATGGAATTTTATGTAAGAAGTGGGAAATAGTAAGATCTGGAGAGGACAGGAATTCCACAAGGAGAGCAACAGAACCAGAAATCTGAACACAGTGGTCTTCCCAGAGACTCATACTCCAACCAAGGACTATTCATGGAGATAACCTAGAACCCCTGCACAGATGTAGCCCATGGCAGGTCAGTGTCCAAGTAGGTTACCTAGTAATGGGAAGAGGGACTGCCTCTGACATAATCTGATTGGCCTGCTCTTTGATCACCTCCCTCTGAGGGGGGAGCAGCCCTACCAGGCCACAGAAGATGACAATGCAGCACTCCTGATGAAATCTGATAGACTATGATCAGAAGATAGGAGAGGAAGACCTCCCCTATCAGTGGACTTGGGGAGGGGCATGGGTGAAGAAGGGGGTGGGAGGGGAGGAGGGAGGGGCTTATGGGGGAATAGAAAGTGAATAAAGTGTAATTAATAAAAACAAACAAAACAAAACCAACCAAAAAGAGCACTATATCCCCTGTAATTTCAGTTACATAAGATTGTAAGCCACTGTTGATAACCACATGCAAATGAAAATTTAGTTCAGTCCAAGAAATAGTAATAGCATTTAATTTTATTGGTATTATTGAAAATAGAAAAAAAATCATGTCTTAACAAATTATTTGTTTTTTTTTAAACATAGTTAAACAACAATGAAAAATTCTACCTGGACCTTCCTCTTTGTTCATAATCTCCTCAGAGTTTATACTTGTATTATTTCTTTTTGAGAATTAAGTTTATTCATTTCTGTAGCCTAATCTCTATGATGGTGCAGTTCTTGGCTCTAAACTGGAAATCTGTATCATACCCCACCCCCAACCGATGCTCAAGGAACACTGAAAAAGAATGGCAAAAAGTTTGAAAGAGGCTGGAAAAGACTGCTCTAAGAGAATGTATTCTGGATATGATAAAACCTGCACACTCATGAACTTCCAGCATCTATGCCTGGCTGCATAAGATAAAGCTGGTCACCATTCCAGCATTGAGGAGCTGTTTATGAGAGTTAGTTTTCTTTGGGGATCTAGCTACTGGTACACTGCTCATGCTTCAGTGAATGGTCTTACACCCATATGCACATACATAATTGACACTAATTTGATTTAGTGGGTTAAAAATATAACTAAGAGGATAGGACATTGGGATGGGAACAGAGTGGAGTCAGCCCGAGAGTTTGTGCCAGGGAAATGGATGTAATCAAAATACAGTACATATATAAAATATTCATACATATGAAAATTAATATAAAGAATATATATAAAGAAATAAAATACATTTTAAAGACACTACAAATTCTGTCTACGATAGTGGTATATACCTCTAATACCTGCACTTACGAGATGAATGCTGAAGACTTACATATTTCACTCCAGCTCAGGCTACCCTAGTGGGGTCTAAGACAACAGAAAGATCCTGTCTAAACACACACACACACACAAACCAAAAAACAAACAAACAAACAACAAAAAAAAAAAACATTTCCTTTTTTGACAGAAAAAGGACAACTTGAAACTCTGTAAACACTTGCCACATTGGTAGGGGTTTTGGAATGTATGTAATGGATATGAAGCAATTAAATTTGCAAAGAGAGTGTACAAATTATGTCTTTGAAGAATGATAATTATAAAAGTTACCACTTTTACCACATATAATATCATTCCCCTTTCTGATAAGATTTATTTATTTTTATTAATTCAGGGCAGCCTGTTAATTTCTAAGACAACTTATGCCCAAGTTATCAGATAATAATTTTCAGTAAATTAATATACAGTTTTCCCCATTACAGGGTAAGTTATTTAATTTGCAATGAAATCCTGTCTTCCCCAGGTGGAAACAAGTCTGGGTTATAGAATTTGTGTCAAGGTTCTACAAATTTCTTCTCAGATATCTTTCTATCTATACCACCCCTACTTTCACTCATATCATTGCCAAATTAAATTTAATTAATTAACATGTCCCTTTAAGCATTGGGTCTATGTCTCTTAGTTCAGAATGAAGCAAGCCAATGAGGGCATCACATTCAAAACACATTTATTCCTTATTGCTCAGAAACTCCTAGGAGACACTGTACATAAAACAAGGCAGTGTTTTCTTGTCGTCTGAATTGGAACAATAGCCACCATCCATTTGTGACAAACTTTTTCTAGTTTATTTATAATAACTTGTGTGTTGCGTTTATGTCATGTCTGTGTATTCACACATGTATGTGTATGTGTGTGCACATATTCATAGATGCACATGTAATTTCGTAAGTGTGCATGTGGAGGTTAAGTTTACCTTTGGGTCCAGTTTCTTAGGCATTGTCAACCTTATTTTTTGAGACCGTGTCCTGAACTAGCCTGGATCTGTCATTAGACTAGGTGATGAGGCCTGTTTCTGCCTCCTTAGTGATGAGATTATTGGCACACACCACCACCAATGTCACCTTTTTAATGTGGATTTATTAATCAAACACACTTATCTCAAGTAACTCTTTTTTAAAAGGCTTTTATGTGTATATATTTGGATTTGCTGGATCTGGAGTTCCAGGAGGATTGATCTTCTTGGTGTGGGTGCTGGGAAATGAACTTTGGTCCTTTGCAAGAACAGTGTGTGTTCTTAACTCCTGAGCCATCTCTCCCGTAGTACTCCCATATTAACTCTTAAAAAGAAGGGGGTACTTCCATTTCAGGATTTTGACCTTCCAGTGGTGAGACACAGCATGAGTATCTTGGCTTTGGTCATCAGTTTCAAAAAGATCACTTCATGTGTGTGTGGGATTGATCCTGTAACATGTTCCTGATACTTAAAGTCAATACCAACTTGTGTGTTATATGTATGAAATAGTATTCAATTTCCATGTTTTATGGACATCCTCCTTATGCCAACTATTGTATTGTGTTGTTTGTGGAATAAAGACAAGAAAAATACTATACATGTTCAGGGAAAATGCACTTTTCTGAATATTACATGTATTTGGAGATATATATATATATATATATATATATATCTCCAAATATATATATATATATATATATATATATATATGAAACCCACTAACAGAGAAGGCCCATCCTTAGATCACTGTAAAGAGACTTCAAGTCATAAAAGGACTTTCTTCCAACAAATTTATGCCTGTTTTCAGCTCAATGTCCCCACACACTTTTCTCACATTTATTTCTATCCTTTCAGCTCCTTATTACTTTCTATTATTTGTCCTTAGATTTTAAAAGCTATTTCATTCTCTTCCTCATACTTTCATTGTTATTTAACTGAAAATTTCTAAGGAGAGAGGCTGTAGCTTATTTCCCCTATTTTTCTTGAATATTATTTTATTTTTTGAAACAATTTTTAAATTTGAATATCATTTGATTATAATCTTCTTCTCTCAAGTCCTTCCAGTTCCTCTCCCCTTCCTTAGTCACCCAACATTAAAAACAAACAAAACCGCATTGTAATACCAACCTCTGATAAAAACCCAGAAAACAAAATAAAACCACACCCAAAAGAAAATTAAAAAACAACAACACCAAATTGTAACCAAATAAATGTGTGCATTCAGTCTCATGCACAGGTACACACACAGACACACATACCTGTGGAGACCATTATATGTCGTTGAACTAGGGAAGATGAGGACTGTCCAATTGTCCTGGAGTGGTTGATATGCCCAGTGTTACTCTATTGGAGAAAGATGATTTTTCCTCTCCTAGCCGGTATAAGTCATCACTTTTAACAGAATGACTTTTAAAAACCAAATAAAAATTAATATTGTATAATGAATAAACTGATGAACATGAATTAGTTTAAATACTTTATTAATACCTATATTCCTTAGTAAAATAAACAAATTGAAGTACATACATTTTATTTGTATACAGTAAAGTGAAATAAGAAAAACTAAGAACTAAGTATTCTCTCATTTTTTTTTTTTTTTTACTTTTCCATTTTACTATCTCAATGTTATTTAAGATTGGTTATATTCTAACGCAGATTTTAGTCAGTGAACTAAAAAAATTAATATTGCTAAAACTGATATATTCAAACTTATATAAAGGTCTCCCTTTCTTCTCATACATAATTAAAAGTGAGTTAAGTCCAATTAGTTCTATTCATATGGGCATAGGCTTGGGTTCATCCCCTAGCATGTGGAGAACACACCAGTGGTCACACTCCCCTCATCAATAGCTTGAAACTATTAAACTATATTAAATGTATAAGAAAATCCATTTATAACTTTTATATTTTTAAAGCTATGAAAACTAAAACCTGTTAAAACAAACATCTGAAATATAATAGAAAAAGTAAGATGAAACTTAAACAAATATGGCAGAGGAATGCAACATATTCAGTGTGCTCCTTATAGACCCATGTTGCCCTTCTACTACCTAAAATGTCCATTGTCCTTAGTTTCCACAAAGAAAATATTCCTCAGACTTCAACCTTTGAAATTGAACCTAAAATTAAAAATGAAAAAGTTAAAACTGGAAGTTACTAATATATAGCAGAAATAGAAATACAAGCACTTTCTCCCCTATTTCGTATTAGCCCTTCACTCTTAAGTAGCTGATAGACTTTTATAAAAAGTGAAGAAAAAGCCTTAGATATTACTTAGCATGGGACGAGCTTCCAGGCATGGCTCTTGAATATGAACTGGCCATAGTAGTAGTGCGAGACCTGGCTATAGCCCTGGCTTGGGCTCTTTCTTCTTCATCTTTCAATGCTACTTCATACAGAGGTGGGAAGGCATCTGGTGTAGTATCATGAATCTTGGCCCAAAACTCCAGGATTTTCATCTTGCTGATTTCAGCATGGGTTCTGGGACCCCACATGAATTCAAAGGATGGTGGATTGCTGTTGGGCACTTGTCGGTACTCCAAGTACTTTAGCTGTACCAAATCTTCAGTGATGACCTTCTTAGGATCGCCATAGATGAAGTGTTTTCTGTTAGAATAAACACCCATCATATTTAGCACATCCCAGATCTCCATTTCAGTGGCACAGTCATCTTTCGTGAAGATCACACCCAGCACAATCATTAGGAGGCCACTATTGGGCATTATTTCTTCACCCATAAATCCATCAAGGGTATGTTCTAGTTTGTTAAAAAGGGCATAGCAGTGCCTGACAGGATCCACTTCTTTCAGATCAACACCATAGGCCAGTTCCATATGCTCTGAGGCTCTTTTTAGGATTTCATTGAAGTGACTCTTAGATGTTTTGATAACAGACTTCAGCATATCTGCCTTTGTAATGACCTCCTTATTTTGATACTTCTCTATAAGGAACTGCACCAGTAAGACTACTTTGTGGTTGATAGGATCTTTATACCAGTCCTCAATGCTGTCAGAGTCATCGGAATTTTTCTCATCTTCATTCTGGACACTTGCATTTGCGTAAGTGTGTGCAAAGGTAGAATGAGCTCCCTGTGGCAAGTTGGGAGGGGCAGGCATACTGTCAACAGGAATCGCCTGCTGTGGACACCCATACAAAGGACCAGAAGAGGCCTCTCCCTCTGGTGCGTTTTTAGCACTGGCTTGGCGGCGCTTCTCACTGGCACGTAGCTTGCTCTTCTGGCCACGAGGCATGATGTCTACAGTGGGGACCACTGGTAGTACAGCAAACAGGTTGAAGAAGGGGTCACCCTGAAAAACAGAGTATGATATCATTTGTACAGTCTGTGTTGGTAGAATCTACCATTATGCCACAAAAGACTACCTTGTATGGTTCCCTTAAGAGTACAGACTAAGGAACCCAAAAGTGAAGGGAAGATTTAGTACTTGTAGTGTCAGTTCCAACTCACAATATATATATATATATATATATATATATATATATATATATATATATATATATATATATATATTTACTTTCCTCCTGACCAGTACTTTTTCTCCCTTTGCTGAATTGTGCCTCTGTCTACCTTTTATCCCTGATTGCCAAGCAGAAGTGTAGGTGCACAGCAAAAGCAATTGGAGACACTGGAATTAAAATTTAGGGGTTGAGTTGGATAAAACGAAGCAGATCTCTTTGGAAGGGCCTCTGGTCTGTGGAGAGAGTGTCCCAGAAGATATCTTGACAAACAGAGGTTCCTATGATTCCTTACCTGAAGCTCAAGCCAAAGCTTCCTCAGAGGCTTCACTGGTCTTGAAGAAAAGCCGAAAATAATGGCTGTAGAAGAAAAGTGGCTATTAGGGTTATCCATTTCTGGTCATACCCACACAGTCCCTAAAGAGCAACCATGTTGATGCAGATTGAAAATTGTGACCCTGTCAGTTCGAGTATAACTGTTGGATTAGTTGCTGGGTAAAGAGTAAATGTACTTCTTATTTGATGCTTTCATGTGTGTGTAACTATGAAACTCTGAGATATACATGTCAGAGAAGTACAGCATAAATGGATAAGAAAGTACATAAAAGAAGTGTACAAATATATAAAACTTCTCAACTACAAGAGTTGCCTTAACCTATCATTTTAAAGCTTCTATACTAAAACATTAGGAAGATTTCACCAACAATATCCATGTGTAGTGGACAAGGTTCATCCTTATTTGAACACAATTCAATATCTATACATAACAAAAACCAAACATTATCCAATTAACAATGGATAACTGTATGTGTTATTTTATGTGAAAACAAATCTGTTCTGGTGTGCTGGTGTATGGCTAAAATAGGAGGATAGCAATTCAAGTTCTGCAAAGGCCATCTAGCATGATCCTGTCACAAAAACAACACCAGTGATAATAACAAAACATAATTTAAATTTTAAAAAGTTTGAAAGAAATTACAATTGTTTTTTTTCTCTATGGTCCTTAGATTGGTGAGATAAACAACTAAAAGACAAACATCAAGATAGAAGTTCATATAATAATAACCAACCTATACCTAAATCAGATAAATCTACTTTAAAACCATTATAAAAGAAATTCCATTTACATATTCTACAAGCTTGGGTCAAAGAAATTGCAACGTTCACTTCCTTGGAAGGTCCCCTCATTCCCTTTGGTTACATAATCTCTGTGGATATTTGTAATGAATCACACATCTAAGGCCTAAAAATTAACATCCACATATAAGAAAAATCATGCAATGTTTTCTTTCTGGGTTGAGTTACTTCATTCAACGTGATATATAGCTCAACCCTTATCAGAAGCACTTCTTCACTAATGGGAAGACCCATAACTGCAAAGCAGATTTGTGGGATGACTCAAAATAAACAGCTATTTCCAGACATAAAAGAGTTTATCTATGTACACATGAACTCACAAAAGTCTATGGCAACAATACAAGGATTGAACTGTTTTCACTTATTCTTCTTCTTAGCTTGGCTTTGTTTTTCTCATTATTGTTTACCTTTTCAAATGAACAACACTTGGTTTCACTATTTGTTGTAGTTTTTATTTCCATGTCATTGATTTTTGCCCTGACTTTAATTGCTTCATCTACTGATTTTTACATTTTAGTTTTTAGTGTTCCTAGACTCAAAGGAACATTGTTATTTGAAATCTCTAAAAATTTTTTTGTGTGTTTCTGATTCTGTCTTTTTTTAAATTTTTATTAATTACACTTTATTCATTTTGTATCCCCCCATAAGCCCCTCCCTCCTCCCCTCCCAATCACACCCTCCCTCCCCTTTCCAACTTGTAGCCTTTGACTTCCCTCTTACCATGGCTTTTATTCTATCATAATTGATTTTGGTATGTTTTATTTTCATTTTATTTCATCTTCTTAGAAATTCTTTTTGATTTTTTTTGTATCTGCTTTTTAATTCCCCTAGCACTTGTGCTTTCTCTCCTTCATTCCTCTCTCTCTCTCTCTCTCCATCCATGTATGTGTACACATGTTCTTAATATGTGATACAGGCATATATGTGTATGCCTGCAGGTGTACTTGCCTGTGCATGTGCAAGTGGAACCCAGACATTAACATCAGGTGTCTTCTGCTATTAGACTCTCCATTACTTTTTGAGACAAGGTCTGTACCTGAACTTTGAGATCACTCCTTCGGCTAGAGAGGCTGACCAGAGTTCTAAAGACCACTGTTCTCTATTGTTTCCACTGTTAGGGTTACAGATTTCACCATGCCTGCCTTTTAAAATAAATAGTATGGGATTCCAACTCAGATCCTCATGCTTGTGCAGAAATCACTTTACCCAGTGAGCCATCTTCCTAGCATACATTCTTCTTTTCATGACCATCATTCAGTATGTTGGTCATTGCTCATGAGTTTGTGTATGTTCTCTAGTTTCTCTTACTGTTCATTTCTAGATTTAACCCTCTGTGGTCTGATGGAATATAATAAATTATTTCAGTTATTCTTTATTTGTTAATGTTTGTTTTGTTGTTGTTGTTATTCTGTTCTATTATCTAGCTTAGATAAAGTCTCACGCCCTGCCAAGAAGACTGTAATTTTCACTGTTTAGGTGGACTATTCTGTGGCTATCTCCAGGAACAGTTTATCTAGGATGTCATTTAACTCAGTTGTTTGCCATGAGGGCACAAATATTCTCTGAGTCTGCCATTCTCTTTGCAATTGGAGGTACTTAGGTCAATACTTTTTATGGAAGTGGTAAACAAACATGGGAACAAGCTCCAACTACAACCACACAAGTATGTTTCAAGTTAGACTGCATGGTTTGTGGAAATTCTTTCCTTGAAGAGTTTCCTGATATGGCACCAGAAGTTTGTTGAAGTTATTTGAAATCTTTTAAGAAAATCACAGTTATTTTTCTTGTTATTAAATTCCTGTCCTAAATAGACAACATATTTCATCGCTTTTTACTACTTCCATAAAAATAACAGCAGTAGCAATACCTGTAAGTTCTTACTATAGACTAAGATCCTTATATATGCATTTAATTAAAAATGTCATTACATTTACTTATTTTGTGTGTGGGTACATGTATACTAAGAACATGTATGTGTTGGTCAGAAGACAAGCTGAAATCGGTTCTCTTTTTCCACTAAGTGGGTCCTGGTGATTGAATCCAAGTTATCAAGCTTAGCAGAAAATACTTGCTGGCTCAACATGTTTCTATTTCTTTTTTTTTTTTTTTAAAGCAATCATTTGTTATAATTTATTACATTTTATTCACATTGTATCTGAGATATAGGCCCCATCTCTTATCCTCCCAGTCCTACCCCCCCTCCGTTTTCTCCCTTATGCCCCTTCCCTAGTCCACTGATAGGGGAGGTCCTCCTTCCCTTCTATCTGACACTAGCCTATCTATCAGGTCTCATCATGGCTGGATGCATCATATTCCTCTGTGGTCTGGCAAGACTGCACCTCCCAGGAAGATGTGATCAAAGAGCCAGCCACTGAGTTCATGCCAGAGACAGACCCTGATCAAGTTATTAGGGAATCCACTTGGAAACTGAGTGGCCTATGGGGTTCGTCTGAGCAGGGGGCTTAGGTCCTCTCAATGCATGGTCCTTGGTTGGCATATCAGTCTCTGCAGGGGCCCCTGGGCCCAGGATTTTTAAATATGTTGGTCTCCTTGTAGAGCTCCTGTCTCCTCCAGGACTTTCTATCTCCCCCTTCTTCCATAAGATTCCCTGTACTCTGCCCACACTTTGGCTATGAGTTTCAGTGTCTCTGAGTTCCATACCCTGATGGGTAGTGTCTTTCAGAGGCCTACTATGGAAGGCTCCTGTCCTGTTCTCTGTCTTCTACTGATGTTTATCCTCTTTGCCCTTCTGAATGACTTTCTAATTCTTTCTTTCTTTTTTTTTTTTAATGGGGTGAGATAGAATCTTTTTAAATTTATTTTATTTTTAAATTTATTACAATTTATTCACGTTGTATACCAGCTGTAGGCCCCTCCCTCATCCACTCCAAATTCCAACCTCCCTCCCTCTTCTCCTCCCATGCCCATCCCCTAGTCCACTGATAGGGGAGGTCCTTCTCCATTTTTTTTTCCAACCCCGGCCTATCAGGTCTCATCAGGACAGGCTGCATAGTTTTCTTCTGTGGCCTGGTAAAGCAGTTAGCCCTCAGGGGAAGGTGATCAAAGAGCCAGCCACTGAATTCATGTCAGAGACAGTCCCTCTCTCCTTGCTAGGGAACCGACTTAGAGACTAAGCTGCCATAGGCTACATCTGTGATGGGCTTTTAGGTTATCTCCATGAATGGTTCTTAGTTGGAGTAACAGTCTCAGAAAAGACTTCTGGGCTCAGATATTTTGGTTCTGTTGCTCTCCTTTTGGAGCTCTTCTCCCTTCCATGTCTTTCTGTCTACCCCTTCTTTCATAAGATTCCCTGTACTCTGCCCAAAGTTTGGCTAAGAGTCTCAGCATCTGCTTTGATACCATGCTAGGCAGAGTCTTTCAGAGGCTCTCTGTGGTAGGCTCCTCTCCTGTTCACTGTTTTCTCCTTCTGATGTCTACACCCATTTGCCTTTCTGAATGAGGACTGATTATCTTAACCAGGGTTCTCCTTGTTGCTTAGCTTCTTTAGGTATACAAATTTTAGTATTGATTATCCTATATTATATGTTTAATATCCAATCATAAGTAAGTATATATCATGTATGTCTTTCTGCTTCTGGGTTACCTCACTCAAGATGATCTTTTCTAGTTCTCACCATTT